CCAGTTCCATCCACGTCGTTGCAAATGGCAAGATCTCATTCCTTTTGATGGCTGCATAATATTCCATTGTATATATATACCACATCTTCTTTATCCATTCGTCTGTCGATGGACATCTTGGCTCTTTCCACAGTTTGGCTATTGTGGACACTTTTAGCATATATTCTGTTACTCCCTTCTTGAAATGCTTTGGAGTCCCTTGCCTTCCAGGACTATCATTTTTTCTCATTCTTTGCACAAATATTGAGCGTTCCAGGCACTATTCTGGGACCTGAACCACCACCAATTCTTGCCTCAATTTGCCACCATGCAGCAACCTCTTAATTGGACTCTCTGATTGTTCTTCCCTCCTCTACACCCATCCATTACAGCTTAAGTATTCTTTCTAATGCAAATTGGATACTCCCCAATTTAAAACTCTTCAAGGTTTCCCATTAGATTAAATCCAAAACCCCTTGGTTATATGGGCCCTCTACCAAAATGCAAGCAGAGGTGGAGAGGTGCTGGGCTAGGTCATGCCTTCCTATCTTTCTATGGTGCTGGAAGGTGAGTATGGAGGGTCCCCTAAGTTTTCCACACTTCAGCTTAGAAATAGCTTCTGAATTCCCTTCTTGACAATTCATGAGCTATATAAACAGCTGAGAAGTACCACCGTAAAGAAAAGCTATTGCACACCCCCCACCCCATCTTATGGAAAAACTTAGTTTGGCCAGAGAAGGCTTTCCTCTGAACAGCAGTCCTGGGGGAAAAACCTGATATTTGGGCTCATCACCTGGGACACAAAGTCCCCTTTGCTGTAATGGTCATCTGTACTTCCTTCAGACTGAGCGAGCAACACAAAGTGATGCTATTGGAGCTTGTATACGCAAAGGCTCACAGAAGCATAAGCTAAAATTACTGCGATGTGCCAAAAAGAGGAAGTTGACCCCAAATTTTTTATAGGAATTTAAATGTCAAATATATATTTAAATGTAAATGTTAAACTTTTTTTTTTTTTTTTAAGATTTTATTTATTTATTTGACACAGAGAGAGACACAGCAAGAGAGGGAACACAAGCAGGGGAAGTGGGAGAGGGAGAAGCAGGCTTCCTGCGGAGCAGGGAGCCCGATGCGGGGCTCGATCCCAGGACCCCGGGATCATGACCTGAGCCGAAGGCAGATGCTTAACGACGGAGCCACCCAGGCGCCCCTAAACTTTTTTAATGAACTTTTTTTTTTTTCGTGGTACATATTCTGCCTTAACCCAGTGAGACTTTATAACATCTTCTGGGATATACAACCCTAAAATTCTATATAAAAACTTCAGACAAGGCCTGGACAGAGAAAGCCAGCTACCCAGGGACCTGACCCTCAGCTCAGCGCCTGTCACCTGTTAAGGACACCACCACTACTATGGGGGCTGTTGTCTAGAGAGGCGGTCACCAGTGCAGAGCCAGCTTCTGGCCGCCGACCACCGGGGCTGCGGTCCTGACCCCAGCACTTGTGAGCTGTCTGGCCTCAGACGAGTTGCCAGACCTCTGCTCTGCCAGCCTGTTCTTGGTAAATGGCCGTATTCAAGTCGTGAAGATGCCTTTTTCACACGAGATGATGTACAGGAGGAACACTCAACTCAGTGCTGGGGGCTGGAGGGAAATTCAGGGTTGGCCAGGCAGGGGGGAAGGTGCTCGAAGAAGGGCCTATGCGGGAGCAAGACCGAATGGAGGGGAGGGATGAAGAGACGGTCATTGGAGGCAGGCGAGGGGAGAACACGCAGAGAGGAGAGGGCAGAAGTGGGGGCACAATGCCAGAGGCACTTGAACTATTACTTTGTCAAGACTTGATATGAAAAGTCTATATATAAAGTCAGGAATACGTAACTTTTTTTTTTTTTTTTTTTTTTAATTTATTTGAGAGAGAGAATGAGAGAGAGAGA